TTGACTGTATATCCACCGCCTCTGTCGTCGTAAGCATCTGCTGACGCAGGAACTGGGAGTGCCTTGTCGGTAGTTTATAGATGACACGAAATTCTTGATTGACGTCCACCCGGTGGCTGCTGTAGATCAAGTGAGCCGCAATTGCACTAGAGATAGACTTTTACACGTCTGGATTTAGTCAGACAGGATGATGCTCTTGAATAGGCACCTTCTAATTGGACCAGTATAATTTGCCCCACAGGAGCAGGTGAAGACATAGATACACAATGAAGAAGTCTGAATTGGTAGTCCTTCTTAACTGCAAGACGAAGAAACGCAGTTGCCCCTCTCTTGTCGGTTGAGTTGACATGCTGGTGATGTCCTTTATTGCCGTGGCATCTTTAGGAGCGTCGTGGAGCCACCGACCAGGGTTGAATGTCTAGTAAGGTCACTGAGAGCTACTCTAGGCCAGATATGTAGGTAGATTGGTATTCGCAACCAGAGAACCATCCCCGATTGTGGTTACATCCCATCACAGTTCTCACATAACCCTACAAATGCATATAATCTGAACGCGATAATAATACAGCAGCATGTTTTTATTTAATTGTATTCCTGAAGTATGAGGAGATACGCAGTTTATTATGTCTTCTACTGAAGGTGAAAAGGAAACCACTGAAGGCCTGTTTGTGCCTAAGCAACCCGGTCTCCATCTTTTGTCTCCTTAAAAGTTGTGGCTGTAGAGACAGTTCACGTACAGGGGGATTATATATCATATTCGTCCTGGTTTAGGGAGGTCGTCGGTATGTATTTTTTGACTGCACATTATGACAATTTGTTTGTGGCATCCAATTTACTGCTGATTTAAAGCAGTGAATGCCCTAATTAAGTTTCTGTATTGTTATCGCCGTAAAAAAACCCGCTTCTGGCAATCTCGTAGGGAACCTCGGGAGTAACCGCTATTTCCAAACTGGTCACACAATTAGCGGGTCTCTTTAACTCCTGTTTAACCTTGAATTAATTCTTCCAGGAAAACTCCCACAGTGTCCTTTTTATGCGCCAACACTTGGCTATTGTAAAAGTAGGAAATCTATCTTGTGTGTGCGGTTGTTCTATGGTTTTCGTTTTCTTTTACAAGAAAATACATGGGCGGAGCTCCTGCCTTCTTATTCCTTTATTGGGAAATGGAGCCTGGAGGATAGAGAATGGAGTCATTTGAGAAATCAATGTAGGGCAGTTCTCCTGATGTATACAAAGTTGACCATACTTACCTAGGTATCGCTAGCTAAAAACTCGGACAAATGTTTAATTATTGTTTCTGCTGCTGCATTATGCGGCTGTGAGGAATGCGGATCCTCAATGAATTTTCCAACATCCTGTATGCGGTGTCTGATATATAGGCTCCAGAGAATAGTCCAGTAAAACGTTCAGATATTATTAAATACAGGACGTAGAGTTAAGTGTCCGGAACATTATGTTATGGCTCAGAACCGAAATCGCAATGAACATTTGAGTCGAAGACGATCAACGGTAAACATCACTTATATGGCCCCTCTATGCAGGATACGCAAATAGGAACGTCCCATTCAAATAACAACAGTGGCCCTGTGCATAATTCCAGGAGGAGTTAATCTTTCCGTACCCTAAATCTTGAACTAGACCCGTGGCCTTAAACTTAACTCTACCCTAAACTCTGGCCTCGCCACTGACACTAACGCTAACCTTAACCCTAAACATAAACCTAACTTATTTTAAGGATAACTTTTATCCTAAACTTAACCCTGACGATAAACCTAACCCTATATTCCCTGGTATTTGGCGCACAAACACCTGCACTGCGAACGGCTACTATTCCCATATCCTGTTTAGGGGCCATATTAGCATCCAATCAAATACAGTTTAATAGCCACTTAGTGCCCATGGCAAAGGAGGACTATAGGTTGAAAAGTCTCTGTCCAGTGGTGGTGCGGTTTTCCTTCTTGAGTCTAGATCCTCGAGAAGCATTTCTGCGTTGATATATTTGACGATTAAGAGAAGTTGACATGTATGAAAAACACGGATAATGGTGACCGGAATGGACATTTCCTGTTTGTTTGGAATCAGTAAAAATTTGTTTCTCAACCACAGATGAGCAGCTAACATCTTTGGACATCAGTCACTGCAAGGACGACGGCGGAGTACTTTATTTCCCTCTCAAACAGTAAAAGGTTTTATATGGAATTCGGTCTCTACAAACGTTGATAAACTTGTTTAGTGGTCTTGGGTCTACTAAACTGCTCAGGATGAAGCGAATTCGTGCAAAGTAGGTCGTAATTCCCCCCCC